AGGGATTGGTGGGATATGGATCTGGAAAGAAAATAGCAGGATCTGTCAGACCTTGTTTATGGTAAGTGTCAGATACATATTAGGTGTTCAAGAAATGTATGAATAAATGCAACCTCTTAGAGTGGTTTAGTAGGAGGAAGGTGAGTTCAGTAGTAGGTTCATGCACAGCTCCCACCCATCGGTCTGTCAGTCGGAGGCTGTGTTGCTATGATGAGGAATAGGTTTCAGCAGAGCTTCCAGACTAAGACTGACTAGAAGGAAGGTCTGGCAATCAACTTCCAAAAATCTTCCCTGAAAATCTATGGATCACAACTCTCCAATCTGTAACCAGTTAAGAGGATGGCACAGGGCCAGACATCATTTTGTTCTGTTTTATACTGGATGTAATAAGTCAGGGCCAAATAGGACAGCAGCTTGACAAGCTAACAAGAGCTCAGGAGTTTGGCTTGAGAAAACTGAAGGAAGTAGAATTGACATGACTAAGCCATTGTATAGGTATGAAAGGGAGGAAGGACCAGGTGTGGAAGGAGGGCAGGTCCTGGTTTCTGGCTCTGGTACTGGGTGAATGGGTGGAACCTATCACTGAGGTAGAATTATAAGAGCAGGAGCAAAGTTTTACTTGGGGGAGCAGGTGGTAGGTGGGTATAGAAGATGACTGTTTTACGCTGATTGAGTTAAATATATTGGTAGAGCTGTCAGGTGATTAGAAATAAAAGTCTGGTGCTTAGGAGAAAGTCTGGCTTGGAATTACTGTTCTGGACATCATTGGCAAGTAGTGATAGTTGAAGCGGTGATGTCTCTGGGAAGTTGTGGGAGCTGTGGACTGCACCAGTGCTATTGCCAGAGGGGAGACACAAAAACAGCTATAACATTTTTGCACAGAGTTGCAGCAGAAGTTTGTTTTTTGGTTTGTTGTTGGTTGTAGCATCAAAAACTTCAGGGGGGTAAGCCCAACAGAAGGCTGGCGGTTCAAACCCACCAACCACTCCTCGGAAGGAAGATGGGGCAATCTACTTCTGTAGTGATACTGCCTCGGATATCCAAGGAGGGGTCGCTATGAGTTGGGTCCGACTCGACGACACACAACAACAACAACAACAACAAGCTCAGCTTATATGTATCAAAATAACTACAAAGCTAAAACTATGCTGATTTTCTTTTTGAGCTTTCTAATGTGTTCTGGTCAGAGCTGTCATTACAATGACACTTTGTGGTTTTGTCTGCATGCTCTACAAGCACAGGCTGTTGTTTTTCTTGTTGCTGGTGTTTTTATAGTCATTGATTTTGTGAAATTAGTATTTGTGAACATATATCAATAACTTTGAGAATGAAGTAATTAAAGGAAAAGAAGGAGAAAAATTTAAAAAGTCTTCCACTCAGTTACTAATAATGTTATAACTAATAATGTATTCAGTGTAGGAAGATTTTATAAAACAATTAGTGTTACATTTAAGCAACTTAACAACTATCACATATTGTTCTATGATTTAAATTGATAATAAGCATGACTCGGGATTCTGTATGGTCCGGGACAGGAAGAGACCCATGGAAGAGGGCACACTGGGTGATACTAATCCTATTGATGCCATTGAGTTGAAACTGTAGAGCAGATGAAGTCATTCACAAGACTGAAACGGAAAGACAGTCTAAGAAATAAATAGCAGATCAGCAGTATCTCTCACTAGAATACAAATTCTATGAGGGCATAGATGAATGAAGAATTACAGCAGCAAAACAACAGCAGAACCCTAGTAGGCTGAAGTTAGGAGGTAGAGAAAAGTTGTGTTTAGCAATGGGCGAGACAGTCGTTAGACGCAGGAGGAGTGTTAGAGGTACATCTCTAGAGCTGCATTGAGTGCTAAACACTTTTCTTTCCCTGGGTGCTGATTGTTCAGTTTTTCCTAAGTATGGTGAGGCTTATCCCTGGCCATCCCAGTGTTATTTACATATGTACATACACAGTAACTCTCCCCTTCCCCCAGAGCTTTAGCTTGAGTCTTCTGGTAGACCAGAAGAGACAAACTGATAGAAGGCACTTGATGGAGATGGAGACTGCAGTAGAAGGTAACCAGACTGGAAAAACCAAGAGACTGGTGACGGAGTCAATGGAAATGTTCAGAGGGCCTTTTTATTATTATTATTATTTTTGCTCACTTTCAAAACAATTTCAAGCTTATAGAAAAGTTGAGAAAGGGGATCCTTTTGTTCATCCATTACTCACAGTCCCTAATTGTTAACAGATATGTTTTATAAGTCTTTTTGTATAAGTACATGTTCTTTTTTTCCTGAATCATTCAAGAATAAGTTACAGACATGATGCCCCTTTAATTCTAAATCATCAGTGTATAATTTCTTGTACATAACTGCAGTATGATTATCAAAAACAAGAAAAAAACACATTGTCTCGTACTTTTTTCTAATCCCATACCTTACTCAGGAGCTCTGGTAGCATAGTGCCTAAGGCATCTGACTACTAACCAGACGGCTGGCGGTTCAAACTCACCAGGCACTCCTTGAAAGGAAGATTGGGCAATCTACTTCCGTAATGATACCGCCTCAAAAACCCAAGGAGGGGTTGCTATGAGTCGGGTTCAACTCGACGGCAGTGAGTTTGGTTTGGTTTATACCATACTCAGACCTTACCATCTGTCTGCTAATGTCCTAGAAAGGAAAAATGGAGTGGGAAAGGAATGGAAGGCTGCTCCAAGATCTGAGTAGGACCATACATTTTAATTCTAGTCCAGTTGCTGTCAAGTTGTTTCTGACTCATAGCTACCCAATGTGTGGCAGAGTAGGGTTTTTAATGGCTGATTTTTTGGAAGTAGATCACCACACCTGTCTTCCAAGGTACCTCTGGTGAACTTGAACCTCCAACCTTTCCCTTAGTGGCCGAGCATGTTAACTATTTGTACCATCAAGGGGCTCTGCGTTATAATGCAGTTGTCCAAATTAAAGATTTTTAGGGGGAAAAAAATAGTGTTGGCATTGAATTTATTGAAATGTATGTGGGTTATCCCAGTAGATTTTTAAATAATGTGTTTCAAGAAATGAAGGTATTCAAAGATAGTTGGATAGATAAATAATTGGGCTTCTTTTTCATGATTTTTCATATATATTTACATATAAATCATAGCATTCTAAATCACAACATTATTTATACAGGATTACTGCTTTCACTGTACAGGTAAGTGATTTTGACTTGTAAGCCAAAGAGTTATGTGGACAATGCTACACTGTGCTCTCTGTACCAGTGAGTTTGAAGCAGAAGATACCCAAGAAGAACAGAAACAGGTGCACTTACCAGAAAGCAGCTTGACACCATGGGAATTATGGTTTGTTGGCAAAGAAAAAGAAGAACGTGATCGTCTGCAACAGAAATCTCTAGAGGTAAAACTAGACTGTTTGCTTTTTATTTAATCTAGGAGCTCACAAAGTAGAGCTGCTCTTGAAATTAGAGTGTTAACGTTGTTTCCAAAAACAGTTTTTGCATTTGCTGTGTCAGTTTACACTATCAATTAGAATAACTGTTATTGTAAATGTAACATGTATTTACTAAAAGAACAGTTGGAAAATATAAACCAAAAAGCCAAAATCTCACTGCCATCAAGTGAATTCAGACTCATATGGCCCTCAGAGACAGAGTAGAGCTGCCCCCTAGGGTTTCCAAGGCTATAAATCTTTATGGATGCACACTGCCTCTTCTTTCTCACATGGAGCTGCTGGTGGGTTTGAACCGGGAACTGTTTGTTAGCAGCCAAATGCTTTAACCACTGCACCACCAGAGCGCCTTAGAAAATATGGGTAAGCATAATTAGGAAAATTAAAATCTCCTTTAATCTTAACACCTGAAGATAACTACTGTTAATATTATGGTATATAGCCTTCCAGACTTTATTCTGTGTAAAATTGAAAAACACATATATGTAGATATGTGTATATCTAGGCACTTAAAATAGAACTTGGTCATATGTATATTTAAGGTTAAGTCAAAATCAGGCAATAACATTCTATAAGGTGAAATTTAGCAGTGAGATAAAAATTGTTACAGAGACAGGATTCTGTTGCCATATCTGTCAAAGAGCGTGTACCCTAGAATAAATATATGCAGGGAGATGGGAATCTGCTGGTCTCTTAGGTGTTTTCATTCTTCTCTGCCTCCGTGACTTGATTATAGAAGTTTCTCTATGTGTGATGCCAGTGTATGAAAATACGTTTTTTTGTGTGTGTCTGTGTCTGTGCATGCAATATGAATCTGAAACGAAGGTCATCTACTTCATCTGGAGCTCAGCTGAAACAACATTATAGAAGAGATCTAATACATTTCTTTTTACAGATAATTCTGACATTAGGCAGTTTTTGACTCATGTAATGACTTTAAAACCTAACCCCTACATAGGCTGTAACTCCTCTGATTGTGTTCTCTCTCTCTCTCTCTCTCTATCTGTGTGTGTGTGTATGTGTGTTGGAGGATGGGATTGCTATCTATCACTGTCTGACCTCTCACTAGAAAAACTCAAAAAACAAATACTTTCCGATACATTTTCACAAGAATCCTTCACTCTTTAAATTCTGTTTGCTATGTGCAACCTAGCAGTCGAATGGATTTAGGTAATTTGGCATCACTCATTATCCAAACTCACTCTCTGAATTCTTATCCAAACACAGGAACCAAATAGATTTGGACTGTGAAAGATGCTTGTTTTTAGTGAAATTCTTTTTAACCTTCTTTTTTTGTGCCTGTTACATTGTTATATTTCCTTATCATTAAATATTTTTGCATTGTAATTTGGCTGCCTAATATTTTATTAAAGTATATTTTCATTATACTAAAATATGCTTTTAAAAAACAACCAAACTTACTACCGTTGCTTAGATAATTCATTATTGGTGGATATTTAAGTTTTTTTCCTGACCTATTGGTAACCAGGTTGCCATAAAAACCCTTGGAACTAAAATTTTGCCCATGTCTGTGATATTCCTTGAATAAATTTTCCTTATCAGTTTTGAAACTAGTTATCTGTTTCTGTGATGGGTACCTAGTGAGGTAGGCGGTTGCATGTTCAGGCAGCTTGGCATGATTCGAATGATTGTGGAAACCAATACATCATGCCATTTCCCTGTTGTATGTTACTTTGTTTTCTAGATTCTAAATTTATTCCTGGGAGAATGCACTGTGAGAGGAGCACTTATTTTCTCTTAGGAAGGGCACAGGGTTTCAGCAAGATTTGTTGTCGGGCAGGCTTAATAAGAGCTCTAGTTCCATACTTGTCTCCTGGGTGATTTTAGGGACATTAAACTTTTAAGCTTCAATTTCATCATCTGTACAAAGGGATAAAATAATGCATCACAAGATTTTTGTGAGGAGTAAATGAGACAGTATAAGCATGGTAGGTTTTGATTTTATCTGTATTCTAGTGTCTTTGTTATCATAGCCTTCTTACAGCCTTTTCATTTATTTTTAGGATTAGTTTGTGTTATTGCAACCACAAACTCTCCTGTTACCTCAACCTCAGTGTTACCATTACCAGTTACATAATTTAGTGCACTGGTTTTTAAAATATCTACTTACAGTGAGAAATCTGCTTCGTGTTATATACAAGCGCGCACACACACACACACACACACACACACATATATATATATACACACACACACATATACAATACATACTTAACTGAAATAATACTTTAACCATTGTATTCTGTTTGGGGAGGAGCTGGTCATAAGCCATTAAACTGATTTTAGACTCAAAGTTTGGAAAACATCAATGTGTAGTGCGTGGGAAGGTGGAATTCAGCTTATGGTATTTGGTTTTTACCTAGCCTTGCTAGTAGTCATTTGTTATATTAAAAAATGAAAAGAAAGAAAGAAGAAAAGAAAGAAAAAGGACTACTTCAAGTCAGTTTTGGAGTCAGTGTACAAAGAAAGAAGTTAATTATAGCACTGTGCTGAAATTTTCACACCTTGGGAAAGTTGTTTTCCTTCTCTGAGCCTCAGTTTCTTCATCTATAAACCAGATGATAGAAAGGCAATAGTGGAGTGGTTAAAACCATAAATTCTTGACCCATATTTCCTGAATTCAAACCTTGGACCTTGAGCAAATCCTTAACGTCTCCGTGTCTTGATTTCTTCATCAGTGAAAGGGCAAAAAATGATACCTACTTCATAGTGTTGTTATGCAGACTAAGAGAACTTCAGGATATGGATTAGCGTACAGGGAGCACTCAAGAAAAGTTAGTTATTATTATGTTAAAAGGGAGATAATAATAGCTACCATAAAGATTTGTTTGAGAACAGATTAAAATAATGAATACAAAGTCCCTACCACAATGATTAAGCACATAACAGGGTGTAATTATTTGTAATTTGGTTGAAAGATGAAACCTCATGTAGTTAGTAGCTTGGCAGTTCTTATGGCTTCTTCCATACTAACTCTATGTCAGCTGAGATAGTTTAGCACAAATCTTACTCTTTCCTGTTGCGCTCACTTTAGCACAGAGCTCATATTGGGTATTTGTGATAGCCATTCTTTTCATCCTTTTCTCTTTGTTTCATTTTCTAAGTCATTCTTTCCTTATTTATTTATTTTTTGTACTTGTTTACAGAATTTCCTGGTTTGTTTACAAATCATATCATTAAAAGCACAGGGTTTTAATCATAAGCATGATTTATGTCATATACCTATTAAAGATAAAAAGCACAGGGCCAACGAAGTAACTTTGCCAAGATTTTTGTTAGTGACAGAGATGGCTTTGTAGCAGTTTTTAACTTCCAATTTAAGTGCTTTCTCCAGTATACCAAGATGTATTTTAGAAATAAATAGATCAGACTTAGTATTTTTCAGCTTATTCTGTCTTTGTTATTTTCTTCTCTTGAAATTTAAAGGGTGAACTTTAAATAAAAATTTAAAGGGTAATTAGGTCCTTGAAAAGATCCTCACTACTCATATATTTGATTCCAGTAAGTACATTTAGATTTATTTCAAACTTCTCTGTGGTATTGAGTGAAAAAATTATTTTAACCTATCAAAATTACTCACTTACAAAATGTTTTGCATTTGTAACTATTGTTGAGATGATACATATGGTAAACATTGAACATTAGTATAATGGAAATGATAGTATTGGTTTTCTAAGGCTATAAAAATTTTATTTACATTTTTATTTGTTTTTTAAAAAAATTTTTAGCAGACTTCCCTAAATTCTTTCTGGACTTTGACTAATTCTGATTATTTATGTTTGCTTTAACATTCTAGTACAATCTGTTGTAAATTATAAAAATTATCTACTTTGTAAATAATCTGTGTGGTTTTTCTTTTTTTTTTTTTCTTCCTACCTTGCCTTTGGCCATTTCATTCATCAGTACTTAATGAGGAATAGGGCAGGATATAGAGTTGGTAAAACACAAAATTGTCAATTTTTCTGATTGTCACCTTTAGTGGCAAAAAGTTCTTTGAAAGTAGGCAAACATGCATGTTTAAGATCCTCAATGGATTTGGCTTATCTATAATCAAGTGTTTACTCTATGGGAAAATAGCTGTAATCCTGTTGCAATTCAATGGTGTACCAGAAGACGATGTAAAGGTCTTGTGAGAGAAAACTCTAGCTGTGTTCTGGGAGAAGCTTGCTTTGGTGGTGAACAGATGGAGTCGAGTCATTCAGGGTAGGAAATTCTAAGAGGGACCAGGCTTACATGGAAGGGTCAGGGCTCAGAATGAGATGTGTATTCTGCGTTGGGAAATTACTTGAACGGATGTCCTGAGATTGGAGCACTTTGGGTTAGTTGTAGTATCTTCTAGGCACATTTTGTGCCTTCTTTAAAATGCCTATATCAGTCTTAACTAAAATATGTGAACCATAAAATAGAAACACAAAGTCTGATATTTTTCCCCGATTTTTTTGTTTAGTTATATGAAGAATCTTAAAAAGATATAAAATATATACAAATTCAATCAATAATTTCTTGAATTGTATGTTTAAATCATTTCTTAAAATAGCATGAATTCAGGACTATTGTGGAAAATTCTGGATATATAATTGTCAGATCTGTATCTAGCCTGTTACAAAGTCTCATTTTTTATTTTATATATTTATGTATGTGTATTTATAATGTGTATGTGTGTGTGTATGTGTACACCACACACATTTCCCTCTTTCTTGTTACCTGACACAAGTCTAGACCTTCTTCCCATATGCTGTGGCAACTTACTTGTCAGTCTCCTTCAAAATAGTTCACATCCTTTCAAATTCAGTCTTCAACCTTTATCATTAAAAGCTCTAAGTCATCCGTTTTTCCACGTATTCTTGCTTCACAATGTTCAGTTTACTTTCTTCTTGTTGTTGTTATTTTGCTGTCGAGTTGGACCTGACTCAAAGCGACCCCTCCTTGGCTTTCCGAGGCAGTATCACTACAGAAGTAAATTGCTCAGCCTTCCTTCCAAGGAGTGGCTGGTGGGTTTGAACTGGCAGCCTCCTAGTTAGCAGTCAAACACCTTAGGCACTATGCTACCAGCAATCTCAAAACAAACAACAACATCAACAACAACAAACAAACAGCTTTTTCCACAAAAAACAGCTTTTTCCATCTAGTAAGCACCACACTCATTTTCCACTCCTCATCTCTTCCTTCTAATCAAGCCATCTACTTACTGCTGCTTTCATGGTGCTAGCTCATTTCTGACTACCCGGTCCACACTGTGTCTTCTCTTTCTTTTGCTTCCTTCCCTTCCCTTCTCTGAACTCCTTTTACAGACAATACCTCACAATGTGGCACTTAATTTTTTGGTCGATATAAGATTGGATTAGATGAAACATCTGGAATTTTGTCTTTACGTCTCAGTTCCTGCTACCTTCTTAGTGGGCACTCCATGAATATTGAGTGAGAAAAGAACAAATAGCATATGCAGAGGTAGTGAAGAATCGTTAAACCCAAGAGGGGTATTTTGCTTGTTGGAGTATAGTGTTCAAGAGTTGTAAGACTTTTCCGAGTGAGTGAAGGCAGCTCTTCTCTATGCAGCAGGATTTTAGGATGAGAGTCATTGGAGACAAATATTCTGGGCCCATCTGTTCTAAAGTACAACAGGTATATTCTTGGTGTAGAGTTTTATCTTCGTTTTGTCTGAGAGTTAAAAAATTATCCTTTTCCCTACTATCCATCCCTAGGTAGGTTGGTCTTAAAAGGGTGGAGGAGTGGGGACCAATGGAAAATATGTAAAAGTAGTAATTGATTGTTAGTATCTAAGGAGAGACAAGAAAAAATAACCAGTAATTATGGTAGTACAGTCCTAGACGTCTAGTTTGAACAGCATTCTCAACGAATGCAGTAATTTAACTGATGAGTGACAGAGTGGTGACATTCAGCTTGCAGTTTTATTTGGCCATACCTTCTACATTCTTTCTCCTGAGGAAATGCCCAAACGTGTAGATTCGAGTGACAGCAAGGCCATTAAATAATCTGGGATATGAATGTGGTTTTGTTTTACACTCGAGCTATAAAATCAGTGAAAAAAATCTGGATTATTTATTTCCTCAAAGAAACTTAAATGGCATCTTTACATGTCTTATTTGGTGTACCTTTAAATTAAAATTTTAATTTAGGGATTATTTTATTCCTATCTTTTATCTTCATAAATAATATAGAAGCTTTTTATAACAGTAAAAAAAAAAAAAAAAGTTGCAATTCTCTTGAGTTTCTGCCAGTTCCTTACAATGATGCCAAAATTTATGTGTGGGAAAGTTGATTTCAATGAGAGTAATTTAGCTGAAGTTTAGTCTAAGAAGCTAGTGTTTTGCTGCCAAGCAATTATTTGCATTTCTAAAAAATGACTTACACTTTTTACAAATACTTTTTTTCCATCATAGACTAGTAACTTAAATAAGTTAGTGGTGCTAATAGTATATTTTCTATGAAGAAAATTAAATTTTTGTTTAATTTGGTTAACCTCAGCCCTTTTTAAAATACATGATGTGAGTAATTGCTATTAAATGTTGCTTTTCTTTACATAAAATCAACAGCAATTAAATCAACAACTAGAAAAAAGGAAAAAAAAGGAAGAACATGAAAAAAGAAAAATAATTGCTGAAGAAAAGCACAAGGAATGGGTTCAGAAAAAGAATGAACAGGTAAGGAGAAAAGACACGTGCATACACACACTGATAATAGCTCTTTTGCAAAGTCTTTCCATTACTCCCTCGTTACCTAGGTTTTTCTTGTATTTCTCAGAATTTTTCTTCTTTCTCTCTCTTTTTTTTTTTTTTTTTTGATTACTCATGGACATTTATCGAAGGCTCTGTCTTCTGCCCTTTGCTTCTCTCCTTTCTCCCTCATGTGGCTTCCACTAGTACCTGCCTGCCTGCCTATAGGCTGCCATAAAGTGTGTATCTCTAGAGTCTTGGATTTCCATCTGTTTGATCTGCTGATACCTCTGAGCCTGCAAATCCCCTTTATTATCCATTCTCCCCCCCATATACCCATTCTCCTAATTCTTTTCTTTTTCTTATTAGTACTGCTATCTTCTAAGTTACCCAAACATAATCAAAATTCTTCTGTCATTGTGGTCATTCCTTCCGTTCCTTTACAAATACAACTCCTCTGTTTGTGATCTCTTCCAGTCTGGTCTCCTTGTATCTTTAAACTAATTTGTTCCTTATTTCCCTGTTCTGGAATGTAAGCTCCATAATAAGGAGGGAATTTTTTCCTCTCTTACTTAGTTTGCCATCGGCTAAATGAGTACCTAGCACATCGTAAACCCAAAAACCCATTGCCATTGAGTAGATTCCAACTCATAGCAACAGCTAAAGGATAGAGCAGAAGTGTTCCGTGGTATCCAAGGCTATAATCTTTATAGATGCAGACTCCACATTTTTCTCCCATGGAGCGGCTAGTAGGTTCAAACTACCAACCTTTTGGTTAGCAGCCTAGTGCTTAACCACTGTACCTCCAGTGTTCCTTTAGCATATGGTAGCCGAAACCAAACCAAACCCACTGCCATAGAGTCAATTCCAGCTCATAGTGACCCTTTAAGACAGAGCAGAACTTCCCCATAGGGTTTCCAAGGTGATAAATTGATGCGGAAGCAGACTGCCTCATCGCTCCCCTGTGGAGTGGCTGATGGATTCAAACTGCTGACCTTTTGGTTAGCAGGTGAATGCCTTAAAAACTGCACCTCCTGAACTCCTTAGCATGTAGTGTTGTTGTTGTTATGTGCCATCGAGTCAAACCTGACTCATAGCGACCCCTCCTTGGGTTTCCGAGGCAGTATCACTACAGAAGTAGATTGCCCCATCTTCCTTCCGAGGAGTGGCTGGTGGGTTTGAACCGCCAGCCTTCTGCTTAGCAGTCAAGTGCCTTAGCTACTATGCTACCAGAGCTCCAAAAATATTTGTTGAATGAATGAATCCACCTTTTATGCCTTGCTGAAGAAGTCCCCAATTCAAAAACTATTTTTCATGTTTCTTCACTGTCTTGTGAATAAGGTTTTAACAACTCTAAGCTGGCTGATTAAACTCTAAGCTGGCTTTTATTCTTTGATCTAAAATTCCATGTCAGCTATGTCTCTCTCTCATTCTTCCCTTCACTCTATGCTGTTGCTTCTTACTGGGATCCTTTAAGGAATACACCTACGATTATCACGTCCCATCTTCTTAAAGTATAAATTTTCCTGGAAAAATCTGGGAGGAAATGTTGTTTTTTATATTAAAACAAACATAGATGTTTAATGGAGTAGAATATAAATTTTATATATTTAAGATACACAATCAGTTTCAAAGAAATCTTGAACATTGAGCTGTGCCCCCTAGTCCATGGGGATATGTATTCATGGGCAATTTTGAGAACATTTTTGTTCTTAATATTTCTCACTTCTGTATTTTTATATATGATATTTCATCAGCATGGAATCTCATCATATCCTCTACCCTATCTTTCCCTTTATGCAAATCATTTCCTTCATGTAGCGTTCCCTGGTTGTTGTTGTGTGCTGTTGAGTCAATTCCAATTGATAGCAGCCCTACAGGACAGAGTAGAATTGTCCCATAGGGTTTCCAAGGCTGTAATCTTCATGGAAGCAGATTGCTAGGTCTTTTTTTTTTTTTAAGTAAAAGTTTATGCAGCAAATTGAGTTCCCATTTAACACTTTTTATACAGATTATTCTGTGACATTGGTTGCAATTTTTGCATTGTGTCACCATTCTCATTATTTGTGTTCTGTTTGTTTCCATTTATCTAGTTTCCCTGCCCTGCCTTGCCTTCTCATCTTTGGTTTTGGGTCAGTGTTGACTAATTCATCTTGTATAGTTGATTGTTTGATGGAACACATTCCTCATGGATGATATTGTTTATTTTATAGGCTATCTGTTATTTAGCTGAAAGGTGACCTCTGAGAGTGGCTTTAGTTCCAAATTAAAAGGCTATCTTAGGGCAGTAGTCTCAGAGGTTCTTCTAATCTCTATCAGTCCACTGGGTCTGGTCAGTTTTAGGAATTTGAATTTTGTTCTACATTTCTCTCCTCTTTTACCCAGGACCTTCTATTGTGTTCCTGCTCAGAACAGTCAGCAGTGGTAGCTGGGCACCCTCTGGTTCTTCTGTGGTTCGTATGGACTATAAAGTCCTGTGGACTAGTTTCTTCTTTGAGTCTTTTGTTTCCTTCTTTCTCTTTTTCTCCAGACAAGTTGTTGTTGTTAGGTGTCGTCGAGTCGTTTCCGACTCACAGTGACCCCGGGCACAGCAGAACGAAACAAGAGGAGTCTGTAATTGTATCTTAACCTAGACACTGCTCACCAAAGTAGGATGTAGAACATTATGAACTATGTTATGCCACTTAACTGAATTGTCCCACAAGATCACCAAGTCTTCCCTCCTGTTGAGCAGCCAGTAGGCTCAAACCACTGACTTCATGGTTAGCAGCTGAGTGTTTAACCATTGTACCACCAGGACTCCTTACCCTTGATTACATGCTGGAAATGATCATTCCTTCTTTAAATCCTTGTTCAATTCATACCACTTTTATGGCACTGTTTTGGTTACCTAGTGCCACTCTGACAAGAATATACTACAAATGGGATGGCTTGAACAAACGAGTTTATTCTCTTACAGTTTGGAGGCTTTAAGTCCCATTTCAAAGTGCCAGGCTCTAGAGGCTCGGTGAAAGCCCCTCAACCTTGGGGGTCCAGCTCTGCCTCCTGCTCCTGGCTCACTGGAGCTGGAGGCGTTTCTTCACTCAGACTGCTGCTGGCTGTTGAGGCTGAGAAGCCCCAAGGTTGACAAGTAGAAAGGCACGGTCCTGATGTTACCAAAACACACGGCAGGCCATTAACTTAAGTCCATTGTAAGTCCCAAGGTCAGCAGAGCTTGGCAGGCTGCTGAACAATGACACGGCTACATGCAGGGTCCAAGTGTGCTATAGGCTAGAGACCGTTCCCAAGGCTTCTTCTTATATACAGGAAGCAGACCATATCTCAAAGGCAGTTAGCTACTCAGCTGCTTGTGGTAGATCCCACCATGGAGTTGATTGCCAGTCTCATCATGGGAAATAACTACTACCATCTGCCCAGCCACTCAACCACGCCCAGCCAAGTTGACACACAAATAGAACTACCACAGGAACTTTGTCATAGATTGCCTTCTATTATGTATTTATGTTGTTGCTGTTTTGTATTATGGATTTTCTTTACTTCACTTATAATTTTAAGACCCTTAAGGGAAAGAATTTTTTTTATGTTTTTATCCATTACAAAGATCTAGCATAATATTTTACACATAGTATTTTTCATTTGAATGAATGAATGAACGTATTGTCTTCCTTTTCATTTTCGTACATTATTATTGGATCACAAATAATAAATTTTAATACTCTGTTATCAATTTGTTTTCTATTGTGACTTTTACATATTTTGAATGTTGTTATTGTTGTTGTTATGTGCCATTGAGTTGGCCCCAACTCATAGCGACCCCTCCTTGGGTTGCCGAGGCAGTATCACTATGGAAGTAGATTGCTCAACCTTCCTTCCGAGGAGTGGCTGGTGGGTTTGAACTGCCAGCCTTCTGGTTAGCAGTCCAAGTGCCTTAGGCACTATGCTACCAGAGACCAAAACCAAACTCACTGCCATCAAGTTGAATCCAACTCGTAGCAACCCCCACTAGGTTTCCGAGACTGTAAATCTTTATGGAAGTAGATCACCCCATCTTTCTTCCATTTTGAATAGTACTGCTTTTGTAATTGGCTGGATTGAGACAATTGTTTAAATTATAGAATTGTTTTTAATAATTTTTATTAAATTATAAAAAAAATTATAATTTTTTTGTCCTTAACTTACCTAATTCACAGTGGTGTTAATAAGAGCACCATTTTATGTAAATAACTTTAGTAAATTGTAAATGATGTAGCCTTCTTCATCAAGGTATTCTAAGAAGATTGGTTAAACTGGCATGTGCTACAATGATAAATGTATTTGTTCTTTACTTCAAAAGTAAATTACTACTTTGTTTCCTTTTTTAGTTTACTTTATACCATAACATAATGAGACTATTTTTGTGAATAAATACCAAAATAAAAATAAGCCTGTGTGATCAATACAAAACTTTGGGTAATATTTTTTTGAAATGTGTAACTATAAAACAAAACAGTATTACATGTGTAAAATAGTATACTCTCTCCTCTAAAAGCCTTGCTTATCTTCTAACTCCATTAAGCTAATTTTACCATGCCAATCAAATACTAGCTGTTTATCTAAGAATGTGAGACACTGCTGGGAGATGATATATTCACTGTTTAATTAGTGGCAGTAAACCTAAGCCAGTTATTTGAGGGAAAAAAAAATTTTTTTCTTGTGGAGGGAAATGGCTTGCCCTGACATAAATCAGTAATGATTGAAAGCAAGATTCTGTAAGATTGAGAATAGTTCTAAAATGGAACTTGAGAAATTACATTTTATCTATTCTGTAGAACTCTTGTGCATGTTCAGGAGTAATTGATTATTCTTTTTTCTTTAAAACCTATCAGATTTCTTATTCCAGTCTTAGTTAACATTTACCTCTATTTGTAAAGACTGCTCTCCTGGCTCTTTTCTTCCTGTCCGGCAGCTAGTTTTTACCTCCTCTGTTTACATTTCATGGTGTGTGGTCT